ATGGTTCTTTAGTTTTATATTTTAATAAATTCAGAGCTCACCACTAATTCTTGGCTAAGTAGTTCCTTTTTTTTTTTTTTTTTTAAAGGACTCACAGTTGCTCTATTCCCTTAGTTCTTTCTTCTTTTCTTCTTTCAGAATATCTGCTTGTCAGATTTATTCTTGAACAAAACTTACCTAGGTATAACATCCTTGAGTCATGCTTTCTAATTTATTTGGTTAGTAATGGTAGTGTTTTGCTCTTCAGTTTGTTGTATTAGCTCTGCAGTCCCCCCTTTTATCTCATTCTGCTGTTGATCGTTTGTCTTTGAGCTTTTGTTTTCTTATATTGATGCATTTATTAATTTCTATAACTTAAAGCATTTGTGGGGCATTTCCTTTTTTTTTTTTTTGGGTTATTTTCTTTCAGATTGAGTTCTGCCTCTGCCATGTGCTTATTGTATTCCTTTCCTTAATTATTTTTGCTTGGTTGCCATTCTGTGTCTTTTTCGTCTTGCTTTTCCTTAAAGAGTGGGTCCCTCTCTCCAGACATAGTATGAGTAAATTCTCTTTGACCTCTTTGCCATTGTTTCTTCTTTTCCTCCTAGGCCAAGCTTGAGAGCCAGGTTATTACTGTTCTGTCCCGTTTTCTGTAATGTGAAGGGAGAACATCTCTGGAGTTGGGTTCAGCTCATACTTGACCACCTGGGTTCTGCTGTTTTTTTCTGAGATTTTGTTAAATTATTATAACCTAGTTTCACTTATTTCAGGGCATACACTAGTCGATAGGGCTGGGGAAAGATACGCTTGGACTTTGAATCATTTCCTTTTCAGCTTGGAAAATTTCAAGCCCTGGTAGTTTTATGTTGGCTTGGCTTTTTTGTTTTGTTTGCCTTTGCTAAGATCCTGGTGCCCTGGCAGTGGGAGGTAGAAGTTCCTGGCCCTCAAGGCTTTTCCTCAACCTTTCTCCTGGCTGAGCCCTTACCCCATCAACCTACGCTCTCCAGATTGGGAGGTATTAGTCAGTACACAGGATTTTATCTCCGCACCTTCTTCATTTTGGCTTCTGGGGGTTGGGTTTGGATCTTTGCTTAGCTGAACCACATAGTACAGAGCTTTCATTTCCTTTTAAAAGGTTGTGGCAGAAGGTTATGCCCTCTTTTTTTGTTGGCTGCTGGTGGTGGTTTATGTACCCTTTTTTTAAAATACTGTTTTTAGCTCAAGTCTTGGGAGAAGAAAATTTTGTAATCTGTTTCATGATACCATCACCTTTTCCAAGAAGTCTCACCTAGGTAGATTTCAATCTTGTATTTTCTAAGGGATATGTATATGTTTTAATACTGTAAGCTCCACAGTAGCAGGAATATAATGTTAATATTTCTTATTTGTATATGAACTTAGAATTTGCAAAATGCTTACTCAGTATCATTTTTAAATTTTTATTTATTGTGGTCAAATTATGTAACATAAAAATTTGCCATTTCAACCATTTTGAAGTTTACAGTTCAGTGACATTAATTACATTCACAGTGTTATTTACCATTGTTGGTTACCATCATCACTACTTATTTCTAAAACTTTTCATCACCCCAAATAGAAACTCCATACTTTACCAGGAACAGTAACTCTCCATTCCCTCCTTGCCCTAGCCCCTGGTAACTTCTAATCTACTTCCTTTCTCTATGAGTTCACCTATTCTAGATATTTCATATGAGTGGAATCATACCTTATTGGTCCTTTTGTGTCTGACTTATTTCACTTAACATCATCTTTTCAGGGTTCATCCATGTTGTGGCATGTATCAGAACTTCATTCCTTTTTATATCTGAGTAATATTCCATCATTCATATACATCACATTTTATTTATCTATTTATCTGTTGATAGACACTTAGGCTGTTTTTACCTTTTGGCTATTTTGAACAATGCTGCAGTGAACATTGGCATACTAGTATCTGTTTGAGTTCTGTTTTCAATTCTTTTGGGCATATACCTAAGGGTAGAATTGCTGGATCATATGGTGACATGTTTAACTTTTTGAGGAACGATCAAACTGTTTTCCACGGTGGTTGTACCATTTTCAATTTCTACCAGCAATATATGAAGGTTCTAAATGTCTTCACATCCTTACTAACACTTGGCTAATTTCTGCTTTTTTGATCATAGCCATCCTAGTGTGTGTAAAGTTGCATCTAATTGTGGTTTTGATGTACATTTTCATAATGATTCATGTAATTAAACATCTTTTCATGTGTTTATTGGCCATTTGTATATCCTTTTTGGAGAAATGTTGCTGTAAACCTTTGATTGTTTTCCAAGTTCTGACAGAGTTGATTGTGATAGTTTCTGCTGTTTTTCAATGTTTCTGTGGAGGGACAGGAGCTTGGAGCTGCCTACTCTGCCATTTGGCTGACCAGGAAACTCTCATTGTTGTTTTATTTAATTCTTGTAATTGTCTTATAAAGGTAGGAAGGGCGGAAGTTGTTATCCTACTTTAACTAATGAGGAAACTGAGATCCAAAAGGATTAAATGAGTTGCCAAGTTATACAGCTAATTAAAAGATAGATTTAAGACTGTGAAGTTCAGATCTTCTGACTCCAAGGCCAGTGCTATTTTGCCGTACCGTTACTCTACGTGTAATGATTATCTGCATCCCCAAGCACAGACATCTTACTATGCCTTTAATGTTCCTACCAAGCTTATTTCACTGATTTAACTGTATTAAAGCCAAGAGTAGGTGTGGGAGGTAGGAGAATAATCTTATGTGACTATTGTACTCTGATCCTGAATTAACTCAGTGTGTCTTGGTTATAATAAAGCTTACCAAGATCTTTTTAGCATTTTCCCCTTCTCTGGTGTGTAGGAAACTTCCCAGATTCCTCAATAAAACCAAGCCTAGATCTTCCAAGACTGGCAGTGGAGACAAGATTTTCCACGTGGAGAGCCTGACTTTGTGGGCCTTATTTTTGTCTCTATAATTCACTTTCCTCTTGGTGTCTTTTGTTTCTTACTCCTGCCTTGATCAAGGAACTTGTATCCCTAATTTACCACTTTGTTCAAGAATATATCTTTAACTTTTCCATAGATTCCTTGTATGCAGCCAAGATGAAGCTGGAACATTCAAGAAGGCTTCACTGAAGGAGCTGGATTAGCAGCTAACATACAATTAGATGCTCTTGTTTATAAGTTATGGCTCCTCCAGGGCTCAGCAACTGTTGGCCGACTTCCGTCTTCCCATCCATTACCAAAGAACATACACTTAGATGTCTTCCCTTGTTGATGGTGACACCAAGGAAAGCAAATTTTACAGAGAGATTAGACTTTTCTCTATTGTCTTTATAGGGCCTGCCTTTCTAGGTTCCACTTTCCTCTCTAAGCCTATTCTTACATAATGATTAACAGCAGTCATGGTGACCATCTTCAGGAGAAGCCCTTCACCTATTCACAGGGCTGTAGTTTTACTGTGGCTTCAACAGGGCAACCATATCAGGTCATAATATTCATCTAAGTAATATATATTTGTATAATTGCAAGGGGTAATATTAGAATAGAATATGAGAATGATGTTGAGGATAGCAGTGTATTTATAATTATGAGGAAGTCCGTAATTCATGTGCTAATAGTTTAAACTGACTCTGTGTGTGTGTGTGTTTTTTTTTTTTAAATCCTTCTAGGTATCATGAACTGATCACAAAATATGGGAAGTTGGAGCCTTTGGCAGAAGTGGACCTAAGACCCCAGAGCAGTGCAAAAGTAGAAGTCCACTTTAACGATCAGGTGGAAGAAATAAGCATTCGTCTGGACCAAACAGTTGCGGAGCTAAAGAAACAATTAAAAACTCTAGTGCAATTGCCCACAAGCAATATGCTTCTCTACTATTTTGACCATGAAGCGCCCTTTGGCCCAGAGGAAATGAAGTACAGCTCTCGGGCATTGCATTCCTTTGGCATTAGGGATGGAGATAAAATTTACGTGGACTCCAAAACAAAATAACCTCTACCAGCCTTGTAAAAACACATATAAGGACTTCTTGCAGGGCATTTCTTTCCAATGTGGTTTTCTTTAGGAGGGAGAAGGTTGTTTTTGTTTGTTTTGTTTAGGTTTTGGGGGCTTTTGTATATTTTCCCCCTAGGATGGGTAGGGGGCTGTTTTGGTATTTTCTGGTACAGATTTCTTTGGCTGAGCCAGCAGAATCGGCCAGGTCTCCAGTCCATGTGCTTTCCCTATGAAAGAAATAACTAAGAAATCACCGACTTCCTACTGTGCTCACAGGATTTGTCTGACACTTGGTTATCATTACCATTTAGGTACGCCTGTGAAGATAGCATGAACAGTATATCCCCTCAGAAGGGTGTCTTATAGTATTTAAATCAGGAAATGAGGACTGTCTACAGGAGGGGCCAGCACTTCTTTCTCCTGTTCCTCCTTTTTCCTCCCTCTCCCTCCTTTTCCCTTTTGGTTCAGTTTTTTGACTTGCGTCAACACATGTTTACCTAATAGTTTTATTCTATCTATAATTAACTTCTCAGCTTGGGTGAGTTTTCTTATTTCTCCCTTTTGAAACAATTTAAAGTGTTTCAAGCATTTCTCAACCTGATTCTGATCTCAGGTACTCGGTAAGAACCTATATAACTCTGTTAGAACCTTAGAGAGGAGTAGCTGGAGAGTTAAAACTCCAGGAAAATGTGTTGTTATTCTGGAAGCACAGGCAGAGCTGTCTCATTTCTTTGTATGTTACTATCTCAATTTACTGTTCCTCACATATTATACCAACCATTGCTTCAGTAACATGTAATATTTTAAACTTCAGAGTTCCTTTTTTTGTTTGTTTCAGTGAATATATTTCCTCATATGTTTCTTTTTCATTACTTACAACTATTGAAAATAGAGGCCTGACTTTATGGAGAATCCAATAGAGTAATGGATATCCGTGCCAGGAGGGTTGGAATTAGCTAATAAACTGTATGTGGCGTGTGTGAAGGAGTGAAGTGGGGGAATATGGGAGGAAGAGTGTACCAACTCTCTTGCCTTTGTCATCCATCTGAAGTCCCCAATCTTGCACTTTTCATTAGAAGTGGGAAATTCTAATCAAGGGAGCTTTGATTCCCAGTTCTTCCCTGGGATTTTGTGATGTCATAATTGAGCAATTCTTTGTTTTACATTTCAATTTAGTTGCCCCAATAGAAAAACATTTCTGCCTAATCTATGAGTAAAGTGTTAGTATCAAAACTTCAGAATTTTTTTGCAAAAGCGTATTTAAAGCACTTTTTCTTTTAAACCTCTCTGAAATCTTTTGGTTTGTTCTATTCCCTTGTTAATCAGATGCAGTCCCGTTCTTTAATATGTATCTTTCTTGGTCAACCATGTTGACAGGTGGAAGACTTGAGAAATAGTTAGCTTAACTGGGGCAGAAGTTGTGCCCATGAAGTATTTTTCAAAGAATGTGATCATTAGCTGATTGCATTTGACATTTTGACCTTTGTTACATGATTGCACCCCCCCCCCCCAAGTTCTTTAATTTCTTATAGAGATTTTGGATGAATCATAAATTCTCACGTATGGGGAGTTGGATTTATTATTGCTACGTTTTTATTTTCCTGTGCCATAATGCAGATGTTTATTCTCTTAATGCACTTCAGGTTCATTATCTGTAAAGCCTTTGACTCAGGCCTATGAGTCAAACTACATTCACTGTAACATTAAAGGTGGAAACCAAAGGGTTTGAGAAAGATGAATGAGGCCCATTCTTCTGCTGCAAACTTTATCTTTCAGAATCATAAAAATGAGCAATGGAGATCCAGGCTGGGTATAGACGAGAATAATTATTTTGCAGTCACAGTTTCCTGACAGATTTTTGGAAGTGAGAAAAAAGTGGCAACAGTGTCGTGAAGATTAAAACTGTGGGTGCTTTGTGTATGTGTGCGTGAGTGCAGACGAATTTGAGAGAGAAACAGTGTAATTGAGCCTGTTGCTGTTACCAGCCTGGGAAACAGATGCACTCTTATTTTTTGAGGTTGTATGGCCCCTGACTGTCCCACAGCAAAAGGCAGAGCAAGCACTTATGTTATGCTTTAATCATAGGTAGAATGGTCATAATTAATAAGATATTTTATATATGACAAAGTTTTATGAAATGCCTTTTTACTGTTGGAGACCTGTTTCTTCTGTTGTTATAGAACACAATGTTCATCAACTACAGGCATACTTTTGTTATGCAGTTGCATGTAAGGGCAACTTCTGATTTCATTCAGTGGGTATTTTTAGAGCATTGTAATTGATGGTTTTAATAATTGCTGAATAGTTTTTGATTAAGAAAAATCTCATACAATTACAGGTCTTTTAGAGTTATAGAACAGCAGTAAATGAGAAAAGCTATTTGAGCATGTGTGCTTGTATATTCATTGGGTGGCTGAGTAAAGATGCTGCTTTTGAAATAAAATGGGTGCTGTGTAGACACTTGTAACCAAAATTATTTTTATAGCAGGCTTAAAAGAAGGAGAGAAGAGACCATGGGCCTTTGAGTCTACAAGTTATGTATAACTGTTTGACTGCAGCTTATCTGTATTTTAATATGGACTTTGTCCAGATTCAATGAGAACATATTATTGACATTTATGAGGGCGAATGCTGCCATAGCCAGTATTACAGATATGTTTGCTACAGGCACAGTGTATAGATCATAACTTTTCTAAAATAGACATTCTTTTCAGTTATGAAAAAGGCAAAGAGTAGTGAAAGAAAGCCAAATCAAAACCAACGGATCCTTTTGTGCATGTGGGCTGCTGAAGCCTCATTGAAAATCAGTTTTTGAATTTGAATTGTTGAAATATCCCAAATTGCGTTAAAGAAAAAACAGTCCAGAGTCATATGTCTTTTATCATTATTGAAAGTTTCTGTTGTTTCTGCAACCTATTGCCACCATGGCCATAAATACATAATAAAGCAGCGGATATAATAACCTCTTGTTTTTTTAAGACCTTTTAGTGAAAATTAAGCCCAAAACATAATTTGAATTATGCGTAGCAGGGATGAATGCTATGAAGCTGTGTTTTAAAATGTTTACTTTAAAAAAGTGAAAGTTCAGTCCTAAGCAGATGTTTCCGCTATGTTGCTAAAAAGCAGTGTTACGAACAGAGAACACTGGTTGCGCAGGTTGCTTGCTGATCACCACCTGAGGCACACCGCCAGTAGCTTTCTCCAGTGCACTTGTGAGTTGCAGCTTGCTACATGGGAAGTGCGAGGCTCCAGGCCATGTGAAACATGAATACAGATAACTAGATTGTTCTCGGCAGTGTCGTTTCTGTTTATGAATTTGATTTTTCCCTTCATGTTAGATTGAAAATGCAAACTGCTTTCAAGACCACCCAGAAGCTGTGTTACCAGACCTGTTTTGAACACTACCATTTTCATAGGTGCTTCCTTAAAATATATGTCCATTGTAGTGACGGAGAGGGACTGGACTCTCTCAGGCTCTTTACTTGCCAGTTGTCTCCTGCAGTTAATGGAAATATATATATATTTTATTTTAGAATATAATTTAAACATGAAGGTCTATACTTTGCACTTTTTATTAATATATATAGATAATCTTTAAAAAATTAAAGATCCAAGTCCATTTTCTCTTTGTGTTCTGCTTTTTTTTGTGGAGTGGGAGTCAAGGTTTTATGTTTATTTTTATATAGCTAAAAATTGACATTGGTTCTGAGGTTGAATTCTGTGAGAGATTGACCTCAGCTGTAAGAGTATGACCATTTTGATAGAAATTTTGCCAAAGTTAGAAATGAAAACTGCCAAAGAAGGAGTCATAGGAAATGTGTTATTGCTTTTTTGTTGGCAAAATGTTATACTTCTAACCTGCTCTCGGTATTAGGGTTCTCTAGAGGAACAGAACCAACAGGATATATATCAAATAGAATTATTTTAAAGAATTGACTTCCGTGATTGTGAGGGCTGACAAGTCCAAAATCTCTTGGTTAGGTGGCAGGCTGGAAACTCCAGCAGGATGCCTGTGTTACAGTCTTGAGGAAGAATCCTCCCTTAAGAAACCTCAGTGTTTTGCTCTTAAGGCCTTCAACTGACTGGACAAGGTCTGCCCACATTATGGAGGGTAGTCTGTTTTAAGATCAACTGATTTAAATGTTAATCACATGTAAATAACTTCATAGCAACATCCAGACTAGTGTTTGACCAAACAACTGGGCACCATACCTAGCGAAAAAAACCAAAACCAAACCCGTTGCTGTTGAGTAGATTCAACCTCATAACAATTCTATAGAACACGGTAGAACTGCCCTCTAGGGTTTCCAGGGAGTGGCTGGTGGATATGAACCTGCCAACCTTTTGATTAGCAGATGAGCTCTTAAGTACTACACTACCAGGGCTCCATATACCTAGCCAAGCTGACACATAAAATTAACCATCGCGCACTCTATGCTAATTTTTAAACTTCTTTTTGAGATATTTGGCATTCCCTTTTTTGAGTAAGATTGAAAATTTCATTTTGGTGAAACAAAAATTTTCCAATTCTTATTCAAGAGATCCTTTTTTCCTTTAAACTGTAATTTTCTTTCATAATTAGAGTTTTGGATATTTGAACCATACCTGCTTATCAGTAATTTCTTGGTAAACTGTTATGAACCAAGAATTAAGGTCCAAGGATTGTATTTATCTCTGTAGTTAGAAGACAGAATCCATTAACTTCTCTGTCAGTGTTTCAGAAGTGCCTACATGTCATGATCTGTTTAAATTTAAGATGATTTCTACCTCTTATTCAAATTTCAAAGAATTATGATAATTTTAGCTTCTTTGCTAAAATTCTATTTAATCACTATTGTGAGCTTCTCTGAGTACTTGCAAGGTAGACATATATCAAGACATCCAATACCCATACAACTGGAAAACACTGCAACTTCCACCAGTTATTAGAATGCATGTAAAATAAGAAGGTTGACCTTTGAAGTCACATTTCTTTCTGCAGCTCCTCTCTGGAAAAGAAGTTACCTGTGTTCTCTCACTTAGGCTTAGAACTCCAGAATTCAAATGTAACCGGATAAGTTTTAAAACAAATATAGGTCATTGTAGATATTAACATGAGTTATCCATCTACTTTTAGGTTTTTAATGTAACTAAGGTTTCAGAATTGAGTTAATCGATGAAGGGAATAACATATTGGATCTCAAAAATATAATGAATTTCTAATGTTGATACCTTTTCTTCAAAATTTTGAAACTAACATTAGAAATGTTTAGCTATTTTTTCCTTTTTTAAAACTGCTCTATTAAATATTCCAATGGTGGCCTGTATATGAATGTGATATACATAAACATATACTAGCTTCCCACCTTACTCTGGACTAAAGAAAACAATAACACAGTATTGGGCTTTTTACTAATAAAGTTTTGGATTATTCTGCTGAGTCAGTGGCATTTTTATAGCTTTACTTCAAAACACTGAAACAGTGACCTGAATGATAATTGAGTCTAATAAATACAGAGCAAATGAGAGTAAAAAAAGTAAATTCTTTACTCTTAAAATAGGTAAAGTAAATATTGTTGACTGTCTAATACTATGTCTTATGCTTTTCTTGAACATGGTTTAGGCACCCAAACAATTTTACTACATTCTGTTTTAAGGCACACATACTAAGGGGGTAAAAAGCACACTCATAACCCAGGAGAAAAGAGAGACATAGCAGATAAGAGTTGCTGGCTCTGCTAATCTGTGCCAGGGACCCAGGATTACAATTTTTGGATCTCGAGTTGCTTTTAAACACTAATCACAAGCCTTTATAAAGCATTTATTATCAGCAAGAAGGCCCCATTCTAGATGCTTTACATATATTAAATCTATTTTATCTTTATAATGACCCTATGAGGTTGCCACTGTTACAGTGAGGAAATTCAGGCACAGATAGGTTAAGTCACATTGGTAAATGACAACAGAGCCAGGGTTCAAACCTAAGCAGTTTGGCTACAGGGTCCATGCACTTGACAGCTATACTGTAATACTTGGTGCTGAAGGTCTCTGTATCCCCCAGTCCCCCCCCCCCAACTTTATGGTTAGTCTTTATATTTCATTAAAACACCAAGATGTTCTTCAATATCCATTTACTAAATTGATTTGTCCTGTAACAAAATCACTGATGTGGGTGATGACTCAAAATGCAAATTGGAATTTTTCCTCATGCTATTTCTAGAATTGTGGAACTGTAGTTTGTATTCATGTGAAATTGTGGCTAGTATATATCTATTGTCCTCCCTGCTTCTCTGAAATGCCATATCAGACACTTGTGATGGGTGCTATTGGCAAGAATAAATGAGCCAGTAATATGCAAGAAAACCGATAATTTGGTTTTTAACCTGGGTACATTCTAGAGCCTTAAAACTTGTTTTCAGTAGGCAGCCAAAGGTCAGTCACTCAGTTCCAACTCAGACTTTATCAATGAGGCATCAGTGTTCCAAATGAACTTAAAATTGGCATTTGTAGAGGGAAAAAGCTTATAATCCAATGGAGCCTCTGTCAGGTTTTGTTATGGGAAACGATGAGGCTGTCATTGGTATTGTTCCTCCTTAAAATTCAACAGAAAGCCTGTTAAGAATATAAATGTTGCTTACAAAGTAGAAAAGACAGATTATCTATTACGGTCTGCAAGATCTAGATCTGTGAAAAATTACAATGCAATATCAGTTTGTCGAGTCACAGACTTCATCCTTGAATGCTTCTTAGTCATTTTAAGTAATACATTAAGGTGTTAAATAAGAATGGGAATAAGGGGATCAGATGTTAAAGAATAGAGGCTAAAGAGGAAAAAAAATGTTTTCTGAAATAGCTGATTCTGTTGAGGACAGATGTAAGCTTTACTCCATTTTAGGGAATTGCCTTCTCTGTGTTAAAATCTTGTTTGATTTAAATTTCAATTTGCTTACAAAAAGAAGGCTTTTTAAAAATATCCTTTAAATTAAATTTTTAAATAGATAACATTCATATGTTTCAAAAATCCAACAATATAAAGAAGGTATTTATTGAAAAGCCTCACTCCAACACCCGTACGCCATCTTTCATTAGTTTATTCTGTATCCCTCCAGAATTTGCACAAATAATAGCAAATAAGACAGTCTTATCTTCCCCCCTTTTATACAATAAAGCTAGCATATTATATACTATCATACACCTTTATTTTTTTTTACTTAAAATGTATCTTCGAGAACTTTCTATTGCAGTATGTAGTGAATCGATTGCCTTATCCTATTTTACAGTGTAACACCTAGTATTCCATTTATATATGTACCATACTTTAGTTAGTCAAAGCTCTATTCATGGGCATTCGAGTTTTTCTCTTCTCTCTCATGCTCTGTCTCTCTTTTTTAGTTAAAAAAAAAAATTGCCAATTGACTTCAGTAAACAGCATGTGTCCTTTAACGTGTAGAAATGTAACTGTAGCATACATTCCCAGAAGTGGGATTGCTGGATCAAAAGGTCAAAGTGTTTGCAATTGTGGTAGATATTGTCAAATTGTTCTCCATTAGGGTTATATTAAAAGAGCACTTTTTTTTTCTGGTTTTCTTTTTTGTCACATCTCTGCAAAGGCGAAGAACTTACTGATTGGGGGCTTGCTATGTGATTCCTGGTTAATGCAACCAAGATAGCGTTCTTCCCAATTAGGCATGCAAATCTAGGCACTTGAATTCAACATATTACAGATTTGGTGATCCATGCATATCTTCTACTCTATGAGCCATCATGCCTCTGGAACCTGTAATTTTTAATCATCAGTTAGTGAGATTTCACATCTGCAGCAGAAAGTAGGTATATGATTTATTCTTAACAATATCTGAGCACTAGTTTCAGTTAAGTGCCCTTGAAAAATGATGGATTAATAGCCCTAAAATACTCTTTATTGTCTAGGGTGAGCTAATCAGAGCTTGTTCTTGCCTACCAGTGAAATCTCTCCTAGAGAAACTATTTGGTGCTACCTGGTGAATAGAGAATATAGCATGTCTGATCTCTCTCTCTTTTTTAGGAGCTCTGGTGCTCAGTGGTTAAAGCACTTGGCTGCTAACTGAAAGGGTGGTAGTTCAAACCCACCAGCGGCTCCTCGGGAG